TATGATCCTTTACCACAGCCCATAGTTGTGTATCACCGCTTCTCTCATTACTCCAGTTTTGGTAGTATAGTATCACCTTTCCAAGCAAGTACCCAACACCATTCCATATTAGGACTTATGCGCACGATTCATTGATCATCCTTTCAAGCAAGTACCCCACAAATTGGGTGTAGGGATGTTGGTATTGCCGAATATGGAGGTAGTAGGATGTTGGTATTGCCCTGAGTCACCCCAACTCAAGGACTTACACACGCGATCTTCTACTGCCTAGACCTTCTCTGACACCACTGTCACACGTAATGCCTTCACTCCACAACCTGGTCTCCTTTCGGGAACTTCTTATTCTGGTTTTGTACTGCACTTGGACTTTCCACAGGGCTTCACATCCAATTATGGCCCCCGTAGGTTACAAAAACAAATTATTTAATTTGCTTCCAGCTCAACTCGAACCATTTACCTTGTCTGTGGGATTTGGGAGCTTAACTAATAAGCTATAGGACCTAAACCCTACACTTCTGCTATTGCTTCAGTTTCTTTTAGTATCTATTTATATTTTTCAGAATTTTCTATTATTGATATATTCACATAACTTGTTTTTTCATCATTGTTGTTTGTTGTTATTGATTGTTATATTTATTTGTTGTCTTTGTTTATATTTGTTATGTAGTTTATATCATGTTTTTTTTGTTTATTTTCATTACGTGTTGTGATTCTTGTGTTATCAAAACAGATCTGCAATTTAGAGTCAAGGTCAATTACCTAAATTTTTGCAAAATACAAACAAAAATATCAATGATATTTCATAACTTCTTTTATTTTTTTGCCACTTCTGCTTTTTTTTATTCAAGTCTCTAAGAAACTGTGTATTTTTTGTAGTCTTTTTTCTCTTTCTTTAAAGCTTCGAGTTTGGTTTTCTAGTAGCCTTTATATATTTTTTGTAGTTTTTGTTAATTTCATTTTTTTGAAAATTTGTGTTTTGATGATTAGCAGAAAGAGTTTTTTGATAGTATTTTTATATAATTTGTATAAATTTAATTAAAAATTAAATAAATCATATATTTTAATTTATTATTATTAGTTAATTTTTAATTTATTTTAAAAATATTTTTAAAATATTTTTTATTAATTAATTTTTAACTAATCAAAATACAAAAATTTAAAAAAAAATATCTAATTTTCATCAAGGTAATTATCACCTGTAATTTTTAATATATAACAAAAACAACAAAATAATTTTTTTTAAGAAAATTCTAAATATCTCTAGCTAGAGATGCCTAGCTTATATATCTCTAATATAAAACTATATTTGATTATAAGATTTTAACTAGAGTTAGAATTGCACAAAGTTAGAGCGAAGGCAAGTTCTTTATATAAAATTGTCTTCCTGATATTTTTAATTAATATATCAGAATAGATTTAGATAGACATTTTTTGTATTTTTAACTTTTTTTACTTTTTTTGCTCTTTTGTTGTTTTTGTTTTGTTGAACTGATCTGTGATAATTATCCTTTGTATTATACAAAAATGGCAATCACATCTATTAAGCTTGAAATATTATTGTTAGACATCTCTAGCTAGGAATGCTTAAAAGAACCTTTTTTTTAAAGCAAAAGAAATATTTTTTATAATTAGAGTTAGAGTGAGGTTTGGAATAAAGCAAGAATATTGTTTATAGTAAAATTTTGCAAGAAATTTTTTTGTTAGAGCTCCAAAGATAGTTTTATAAGCAGAATTTTGAAATATAAATGATACAGGTGATGATTACCTGTGGTAAAAATTAGCAAATTCCTTTAAAAAAATATTAAATTTTAATATAAAATTTTTAAAAATAAGATAACTTATATATTTTTGTTTTTAGATATTATATACTATATAAATATAAAATGAAATAGTAATTTAATTAAGTAAATTAAATCTATATTAACAAATTCAGAATTTAATATTATATGATATCAACTATATTATATATATTTTTATATTATTAAATAGATTTTTTAAAATAGTGCACCTGCACCATAGTGTACCCCTCACATGATGCAATAAATATTTAGTATATATAACATGCGTAATACATAAAGCACGTGACATACATAATACATAAAACATGTGATATACATAACACATAAAGTATATGACATGTACTAATATCTGTCGTGCAAATCACGTAATATTCATGTAACTTTAATGATACAGTATACTATAAATTTTCACCTCTAACTAATCTATCCTAATTGCCAACTAACCAATTACTAACCAATCCTAAACTCTAACTACTCTAACTGTTAACTAGCTAATCTAAACTCTAACTAATCACTACCCTAACTCTAACCCTAACCGCTAACTAATCACTATTCTAAATCGATTATTAAAAGCCTATCCTAACTGCTAACTAACCAATCACTAATCATTATAGTTCACGAATTCACCAAATTTATAGTATTTTATACAGAATCAAAACTTAAAATGATTGTCAATAAATAGCAATAATCAAACTTTATTGAGTATAATGTAGGCTTTTAATCTGTACAAAAAAATCTGAGATCCGTATTATTTCACTAATGATCATATTATAGACACTATATTTCACCAACAATCATTTACTAACAAGACAAAGCAATTCGGTTAGTATAATTTATGAAAAAAAAACTAGTCAGTAAAATGAATTTTGATTAATGAACTATTCGTTAAAATAAACTTGTCGATGAATAATTGTCAGTGAAATGTAGTATCGATGAAGTACTTATCGGTGAAATAATACGGGTCCAGAAACCTATATACATAACGTTCTTGAAACTAGTTAGTCATTCAAAAGATAATGCAAAACAATTCAATTATATTCTATCGCTATATAATACTACAATTGCCACAATTAATCCTATCTGATAATAATGCTACAAACATACAAAACAATCAAACAATACTTGTGAATATACAAAACTGTCAAATGAGCAAACATACATGCATTCAAAATATATAATTGCTAATATGATAGTATAATAATCAACAATTTTTACCAACCTTCGTCAAACTTCAATTCTCGTCAACCCAATATAATTATTCTCTTTTATATAAACAAGTCACTACATTATGGTCTGGCTTCTTACAAAATCTGCAAGTGTATTATCTACGTTTTTTCTTATTGCCTGTTTCTTGTAATGTAGTATTCGTGGTATTTTTGTGACTTGTAGCTTTTGATCTTCTTTTACCAACCACCTTTCGAGGATTTACAAGTGGGTGCCTTTAATGTTAGATGAAGTATGTGTCAAAGTTCTCTGTTGTTCAATCAATTCATCTTCTCTAATACGAACCCTACTTAAATAATCTTTGATTAAATTAACGAATTCATGATTATGATGTAACATACACTTATTTATAGCAGTACGTGCAATACCTCAAACTTTCCTATAAAAAAGCATCTCATTAATAAACACTTTGTTTGTGATTTCATCTGACTCATTATTAACAAATGGTTGTAACTACTTAAATTGACATGTGTTGTTTTCTGATGTAATATCTATATTAGTAATAGCATTACTAAATCGTTGATCTAAACGTGTATACTCCTTTGTGGCATTTAATCATTGGTCTCTTGGAATCCAATGTCATGCAATGAGCTAGAGGTTAAAGTGTGCTTTCTCAGTAATATTTAGCAAATGAAAAAAATGCTGACAAACAAGACCTTTTTTTTGCTGTAAAAGATATATACAACTATATGAACCATTAATAAGAAGAAATATAAAATGATTAATTCTACTACTTGTAACTCTTGACAATTTCCAGATTTCTTCAACTGTATTCTGTTTCAAATGATTTAGAAGATATTTAGCAGATAAATTAATAGCATCAGGTTCATCATCCACATCTTTACTTTGTGAAAGCTTATAAATGGTAAGTGACTCAACCTCTTCAATCGTAGAATGGCTAGCTATATAATACAAACTTTCCTTTATTTGCTCTATCAAAAAATTAGAAACATTTGATCTCAAATATCATTTTACCAAAGATTCAATAGCAGGAAAAACCATAACAATGCTTGCTATAGAAGGAATACTGCATTTCTATTCTTCATATTGCTTTCACTTTTGTTCTTTATTGCTTTGTTCCATTAATACTTTACCCAAATCACACAACAATGTATTGCTACTTTCCAAGACCCTTTTGATGTATGCATTCTGACTTTCAACGAATGACGTAGATTGAATTCCAAGCGTAAATTCTATTATAGTGAATGCACGTGCCCATGAAAATCTACGCTCATAAAGATAACGTTCAAGGTATAACTTTGCATTAGGAAAGCTTACAAGTTGCTCCTAATAGTACTCAAAGCTATATACCATATTTGTATTCCTGCATTGCCAAAATCTACTGTAAAACTCATCAAACAAATCTTCTAATTTACTATGCAATATCTTTTTTATATTTTGCTTAACATGCCAAATATAAAAAAGATGTTTCGTCCCCGGATACTCTAAAGATACTGCCTGTTCCATTGCTGGATCATCATCAGTTACAAAAATATGGGGGTATCTTCATTGGTCGCTTTCTTTGTCATTTGAAGGACCCATTGGTATGTTTCAGTTGTCTCATTACAGACAAAGGCTTAAACAACAATGCGGGATTGCATATTATCATCCTGAACTACAAATAATGAAAGGAGCATATTGTACCTATTGGTACCTGCCATGTTATCATGCCTGATTGACTTACCAAATTCATGCCATAACAAAATTTGTTTTGAACTTATCCAAAACAAATTTGTTAATATATTAGTTTCACTCTCCCATATAACCTCAATAAACCAGAAAGAATCCTCTCGTTGTTTTGACAACAATTGATCATAAAAATTTGCTGCATCACTTTTTATTACATTGCTTGATGGTTGACATCGTTGCATTTTGGCATAAAGATCATTAGAAAACATAGAATGAGTAGAAAACTTCTCTCTTAATATACGTCTCACAATAGTTGCACCAAACTGGCATTTTGTGACAAGAAATTCAACCTCTTTCTGCATTTCTTCAGTAAACTGTTTACCCTTTTCAACTGTATTACCTCAGGAGATAAGTCATGACTATGTTCATTATTTAAAGTAGTAATAGTTATGCAAAAATTAGAATTATTTTTCAAGGAGCATGAGAGATTAACATGCCATGGGCACATTAATCAAGCTGAAGTACTTGATCTTGCGGTATTTTTGGTACGAATATACCTAAATACTTGCAAAAAATAGTTCACTTGCAAGTTATACTTTCGTCTTCTGCTGTATCTATTTTCATTAAACGTCCAAGTCGTATCTTAAACCCTTTGTATTCAGCAAATCATCATACGTGAGATTCAGCTTCTTCAAAATTATCAAAAGAGTCTCCTTTTTTTAAAGATACTGGCTCTGGATCCTTGAATATATTATTTATAGTTTCATTGCAATAAGTTTCCTCAAAATATGTTGATATATCAATATCATCCTCATTATGCTTTTCCATTCTTGTTTGACACTATGATCTTGGTCTGATTTTGGTCTGAAAAAAAAGTTGTTTGTAAGTATAGTATTACTGTATTAGTAATAACGAATTTAGAGAAAAAAAGTCTATTTAAAATTCTGATGAATGGAAGTCCGACAGTCATAAGCCTGACAAATTGCAAACTTGTCTTGATTACATTTCTTTAAGAGTTCATACAAAGCCCTAGTGTAGTATTCGCTTTAGAATAACCTAAAGAAGGATAAGATTCATTAGTACTGTAATAGTAAATTGTAAAAAAAAGCGAAGTACTATAATACATATCGATATTTAGCTAGACGTGTAATGCTGTGCTTTAGAATAACCTAAAGAAGAATAAAATTTGGCAGAATAACCTAAAGAAGGATAAAATTCATCAGTACGTAGTACAGTATATTGTAAAAAAAAAGCAAAGTACAATAAATTAAATATAATATGTATCGATATTTGGCCAGATGCGACATATGTATAAAATCGGTTTAGCATAAATTAGCCAATAAATTTTTTTTAAAAATGCAAACTACGTGATAGAGGTGCACCATGGTGCGGGTGCATCAAATTATAAATTTCTTATTAAATAATCTTTTTTAAATAATTTAACTTATTATTAAGATATAAAATTACTTAAAACTTTTATAAATTATTATAAAATATTTAAAAATAAAATTGCAATTAAGAACTTTCTATTAATATATAAATTTTAAGATTTGGTTTGTAAAATATTTTAAAATTTATAAATTAATATAAAAAATTATATTTTAAATATACAAATTCAAATTTAATTAGAACTTGTAAAAAGATTAATTATAGATATATTAAAATAGTTTTGTATAATATTTTTAATTGAAAAGAATTAGAAAAATAAGCAAAATAATTATATAAATTTTTATATTTTTATATTTTCTTTATAATTAAAGTAAAGATGAATCTAATTGTAACAACTTGTTACATATTTATTTGTAACAACTTAATTAGTACAACTAATAAAAATAATCAAATATTTGTATAGCTTAAACTCTAATTCTAATTACTATTAGCTAATATGAGATTATTATATATAACAGATTATTACAAGAACATTTATTCTTAAAGTAATATAAAATTATTTAATTTAAGATAAATTTATTCTTTATCTAAGGTGAGCCTCACCCTCTATAACAAAATTTGAAAAAATGCTAATATCTTAAAATTTTACTAAAGTAATTCTGTTATGTAATATAGGCAAAAATGTTTTTCTTGCAATTTTATCTTAAACTAACCCTAATCTAACCTTAATTTTAATCCTAATATATTAATATGACTAAGTTTTCTTTTGTATTTAAGGGAGTGAGTAACTTATTTGGGTGTTAAATAAATTATTTTTTTAATTTATTATTTTTAATTTTATTAATAAAAATTTAATTATAGTAAAATGATTATTATAGTCAATATAGTTTTAATTTACTTAATAAATTACTATTTTAATAAAATAAACCAATATATTTTAAGAATATATACTACTACTAGTTATAGATTTTTATTTTCTTTAGAAAATATATATATTAATATAATTTATAAAAAACAAATATTAATATATGCATACAATCACAACTCTTTCTGACGATCCCTTGGTCAACAACAAAAAAATCGAACTATAGTTAAAGCTATAGAAAAGCGACAAAGTGGATACTACAATACTCTTAGTTTATACTTTTATACTTGCTGTTAACTAAACTTATATACGTGAAATACTAAGAAGCGGGTATATAAACAAAAAGTGGGTCCAGTATCGCGATCAAGCTTTTTTTTACAAGCTGTTGTTGACAAAGTTCTTAAACATAATATACCAAGATGCGGGCATTGTGAATGGTTTGTACAGAGGTCAAGCTTTTTCTATATATAGTAGACTTCTTTGTGTGTTTGGCATCCAAACCAGAGGAGTCTCTGAAAATAGCAAAGAAAAAAGAAGTAGACTCCCCTATACCTTCGACATCCAAACCAAAAGAACATTTTGGGAGCAACGTCCCTGTAGGTCCCTGTGAAGAATATCTAGTAGAAACAGAAGAACTGGACTATATTACTGTAACTCTTACAAGAAGAACCTTACATACTTTCGTTGGGCTACTACTTTTTTTTGAGAAAATTTTTGTAAAAAGTGGGCGTTTCAGCTTACCTCCTCTAAAAGATCGATATCACGTACACCAAAACAGTTGGCATTATTTACTTTCTAAACCGGTACAACAGGACAACAAACATGTCAAAGCACGTGCCTCAAATATAACAATCCGATTAAGCAATATTCTACGACTTGGATCGAGTACTGACCCCTACATTCTATGGTCGAAGAAGTATTTTTCTACTGGTTTTGAGCTTTCATATACTATTCAGATAAATTTAATAGTAGAGATTATTTTATTTAGTAGTATATAATTTTTATATGCCATTTACGGCTCATAATAGTGATCATTAGGATAGGCAAATTTTTTTTTTTTTTTCGATATCCCCTTACCCTTTTATCTTTCTTGTTTGTATCTTTTATCATATTCCCCTTTTACCTCTGTTTTATTTTTTCTTTTGTGTTTGTGTTTTTGTTAATTTGGCTCTTTTGATGAAGCGATGCAGCTACTAGGGCTAAGGATCAGAGGGTTCATATCTTTAGTAAGTTAAAGATCCAATATGAAGCTGATTGCTGCTAGGTGGATCGTTCTCTGAGCTTAGCTCGAGTTGATCTTTACTCACGTAGAATATAGTATAGAAAATTGTATCTCCCTGTTGATATAAGTTCTGGTACTTCCCAATAAAGAGTAATAAGCAGGACCACTGAATTAAAACAAAAAATATTAATATATGATTCAATTTATTAATATAATTGTACAAGTATTACAAATTAACCAAATTTTATTTTAAAATACTATTCAAGCTATACAAATAATTTTAGAATTTTTAATAAAAGAAAATTTATTAATATACCAAGCTATTGTTAAATAATAAATAAACTCTATATAAGTTAAGGGTAGACAGTATGTAGATCATTTTTCATATGATCAACACGTGATTTTAAAAATTTACTATAAAATTGAAAGTTGTTATTAATAAAACTTTTTCAAATTACAATAAATTTTTATCAAATTTTTATAATATATATATATAATTATTTATCTATTATAGTAAAATTTTGAACTATTATATCTTATAAAAAAAAAATATACTTTTATATGTAATAAAATTTTTTTGGATAGACCTAAAATTTTCTGGATTGCACAAAATTATCAATTCTGATTAGTTAATTTACATAAAGCTATAAGATAAATTTAATATTAAAATTTTATATCTAATTTTTAAAACTTCATATCTTGGTGAGTTTTTAACCAATTTTAATGAATTTACTATCATTAGAATTAGAAAAACCTACTCTACAAATTTTAAATAATAATTAAAATTAGTTTACTTAATAAAATTTTTTAGAAAATTAAATATAAAAAAAATTTGCCATCAAGTTTATATATAATTTTAAAAATATACTATCTACCCTTAAATTTTAAGTTAAAATAAAGTTTTAAATTTCTTTACTAAAGATATGATTATTTAACAAAAAAATAGATCTAGACTATTTTATATTTTATATTTTATATATTATAATAAATAACTTTAAAGAAATTATATTTAAAAATTTTTTAATACTAGTAGATTTTTACAAAAAAATCTAATAAATCTTTTGTATTTAATCAAAAACTTTTATAATAATTATAATAAAATCATAAAAACAAATTAATAGTAATTAAAAAATATATATATATATTTTTTTTGGTATTAAGATGACCTCTTGGTCGTATTATGCTTTATTGAGTTAGAACATCATTATATATATTTGGAGAGTATTTTGAACCATACCTGTGCCTTTTGAGTACCTATTTAAGTAGTCTAACTATTTTTAGATTTTATACTATTTGCTGTACTTGCAACCCAGCTAGGAGGTTATCTATTTTAAACCCTCTGTGCCTATGTACTTCAAGACCTATATCAATTGACACATTTTTTCCAGTTTTTACAAACCAGTTCTTCTTGATGCACTATTTTACATATACTGATCTAGGACTACTTTATCCTCAAGGTAAACCTGGCAGAGCCTGCAGTATTTCCACTTTATACTGTATCTAATCTACACTTCAGTTTGGTACGCATAGACCGAAGTCTACTACTTGCAGCTCAGTTTGTTCTATTCTGGGAGTGTGTGGTGCCAGGTCGAGGTTATTGCCTACAGTTGATTCTCAGCTTATACTTTCTTCTGCTTCCTTTCTACGATTTAACTCTAGTTTTTAGCTGAATTCTGCTATCCAAACCTACTTCTGCCCTTGTAGAGTTCACTCAAACCCCAGAACTTACTTCACAGTATATTCCCAGTACTTTAGTAACCGGTTTTCTTTACTTAGACTTCTAATCCAGATAGCCTGATATGTGTTATTTATTTTTCTTCGAGTTTGATAGTGGTCTAGTTGGTATAGGCATTTTCTTTTTCGTCTAGTAGCAGGGCTCCAACCCTGGTTCCTAGACTTCCAATCTAGATGGCCCAGTAACTGTACACTTTTTCTTTGCTCTAAACAGGTATCCCGAACCTTGGTGGACCTTTCATCTTGTCACTAAACCACATGTGTTGCAGCTCCTTCATCTCAGTTCCTAGATCCTTTTTCCTATTGCAGCGGCCTGGTTGGTGTAGGTATATCCCTAACACCCCATATTCCGTCCAGTTCAGTTTACTAGATTCAGTTTTCTGGGTCTAACCTTTACAGTAGCTCTGTTAAAAATCTGTGCTATTTCTCTACTCAGAACTTGCTAAGCGGGCTTCTGTATTTGCAGTTCTCCGGATTTACACAGTCTAGAGGCTTATCTTGTGTTTGCACCACTTTATTATTGGTTTGCATTCCTTTGTGTAACCTTATATTACATGAATACCTCAGACCTTTCAGTCTTGCTAGTGCGACTGTAGTTACAAGTATTCTATCTCAACT